AAGAAGAAGAAGAAGAAACGGAAACTTCGTCAGAATCATCTGAAACCGAAACAGACGAGGATTCTGAGGATGCTAAACCAAAAACTCCTGTCACAAAGGCTATGGAAAAAACGGACATTGGACCATTGTTAGCTAGAAGTGCTCAAGCTAGAGATAATGGTAGCGGCAGTAACAGTAGCTCAAGGAGAACTAGCCAAGATGAATCTTATACTAGATCACGGTTAGTAAACTAATGACTAACAATATTTATGACACAATTTTATCGGTTTAATTTTATGTCCAGATACGGTACCAGTGGCTACAAATCACCATCGTATCAGAGCTCCAGAGAAGCCGACACTTCAGCGAGTGGTAGTAAGTACCTGAACAATTCTCGAACCGAATCTGCCCCGCGGTTCACTAGCAGATTCCTAAAAACAAAAAGTATCCAAGAAGAAAATCCTAGCAAATCGAGTTACAACAGTGACAACAAATACACGTCAGACAAGGGCGGGTTATCGCGGAGTAGAACCAGTGCTAACTTAGAGGAAGACCTTCCGGACGACACTAACACATCCACATACTCGCCGTATTCTAAAAACCATTATGGTTCAGATTTATCCAGAAGTCGATCCAGTCACGCTTTAAAATCTCGGGAAACCTCACCCGATAGGCCTGTAACAAATGCTTCAGGTATTACTGATCGAACGACAAAAATATACACATAAATAAACACCATGCGTGATAACTAATAATTATCGCAACGCATTCCTACCATAAATACATTTAATAATATATTATGTATATATGGTGTAACAATCTTAATACACGCGTACACAATGGTTTAGAAAACAAATATAACTCACACCACAACTATAGAACATTATTAGTTTACATTGTTATAGATATTTTAGTAGAACTATTGAGAATAGTTAGGGAAAATTATGAAATTTAATCCCTTTACAGAAATCAATAACACATTCACATAAATATTAACTTAAATAAAACGGATACTTATTATTTTTTACTACAAAACGTTTTTACTATGCTAACAGGAACAGGAGAAAAAGACGGCGCGGCTTTAAGCTCTTGGGCTAGATATTTGAAAAACAAATACGGAAATCGCGGTAAAGAAAATGCAGCCAAAGATAACGCGGCTGCTGGCAGCTCTGCGTCAAGCTCGTCCTCTCGAAGACTTTCGCTGGGATTACCGTTACGCTCCAATTCCACTCACGTTGACAGTTCAGATGACGACCAAAAAAACATGCACAGCTCCCCCACCTCCCATACAATTATCGAAGCAGGTGCGTGTAATTTGTAGTCATATTTTGATCCGTATCTATGTTACTATTATCAATAGCGTCGGAGTAGATATTTTATTAAACTACATTAGATATATTGTAATAAACTGTCTAAAATATTTTTCTAACAAAATCAAATTAAGAATGTTCGTGTGTATTATAGGTATGCAGGGCGTAGGTTCTACCCCTAGAGTGCAGTACCTACAAAAACGACAATTGTTGTTTAAGATCGGTGGTAGGGGGAGCGAGCCCGGATATTTTACTTGGCCCAGAGGTGTCGCTGTTGGTCCAGACAATCTAATTGTTGTAGCCGATTCTTCGAACCACAGGATCCAAGTACGTACCTATATACATCGATAATTCATATTAAGTTCGATAAAAACGAAAACATTTTTCGTATATTACGTATACAGGTATTTGATAACAGCGGAAAAATATTAAAAGACTTTGGGTCCTATGGAAATAGTGAAGGCGAATTCGACTGCCTGGCCGGAGTAGCCGTCAACCGTATTGGCCAATACATCATTGCAGATCGATACAACCACAGAATACAAGTGATTTAGAACGATTAAAATTGATTTTCTTCATTGTTAAAAACAACTCGATTATATTATATTGTTCAGGTGTTAGACCCGTCAGGAAGATTTTTAAGATCGTTCGGAAGTCAAGGTTCCAGTGACGGTCGGTTCAATTACCCTTGGGGAATTACTACCGATGCTCTTGGGTTCATATACGTTTGCGACAAAGAAAATCACAGAATCCAGGTAAACAAAAATATGACAAAAAAACTTTATCGAAAAATCCTAATTGTTTTATGGAATTAATATCTTTACTAAAATCTATAGCCGCATAGGTACAAACATTACAAACACATAAATCTGTACACATTAAATTTAAATCTTAGCAATTTGATTCTCACCCTTTTGTACCATTCTAGTTGCTACAATATTAAATTTAGTTTAAGTTTATTTCGTATTAACGTAAAATCTATCAAATTACCTACCTCCTTGATTATAGCTGTATCTTAGAAATTGTTTTAAGTACTTACCAATGCAGAATTTTAAACCAGAGTTATAGGTTGGTACATAACTTTTAACGCTTTACTATTTATACTAAGAAGTGTAATGTAACACCCGCGATTATTTTCACTAATTTCTTTTATTCTGCAATTAATAAGAACTAAACTCATTGACTTTATAAAAGTAACTTATTTACTCAACACTATTTATTAAATAGGTATAGGTATATAGGTGCTAAATTTAATAAGTTAAACTCTAACATGTATAGTGTATACATAATCGTATAGTAATAATAAATATTATTATAATTTATTTTACTAGAGTAAAACCAAAATAATTAATATATCTAGTAAAATTGTGTAACAAGGACATAATTATTCTACATACAATAATAGCAAAATGTAATTTTATTCAACAGGTGTTCCAATCAGACGGAACATTTGTGGGTAAATTTGGATCAAACGGAAATAAAATCGGACAATTGGAACATCCGCATTACATTGCGGTGTCGAATACAAATAGAGTAATCGTTTCTGACTGCAACAACCATCGCATTCAGATTTTTGATGTTAACGGAAGAGTAATCAGTTCTTTTGGCACAGAAGGATCAGAAAATGGCCAATTTAAATTCCCCAAGTATGTAATTATCATACATAATACTATGTACACTAGGTAATCCATAAGTATACCATAAGCGTATTATATAATTGAAAATTATATCTTACTTAAACATACGTCATTTGGCTGTGCCAGTCACTGACCACTGGGAAAGGCATTAAAACTTAGATGTCTATATTTTTTTGTCTTTACCAATCAATACAAACCACAATTTTTATTAGATGTGATCGTTTTGAGGTACCTATATTCGAAACATAAATCTGAGTTTGTATTATTAATATCTAATTTAATTACGATATTTTTAGAACTAATGTAAAATAGGCAGGTATACAATAATTATATTATTGATCGTCTACTTCTCTCTTAACAAATGTCGGTGATTTTTCTTGAAAATAAGTCTATCAATTAATTAATTAACAATAGAAATTTCAAATACAACAATTTTATTAGAATACATAATTTATTATTTTTCACATAAATGCGCTGTTCAATAAGTAGTTTATTAGTATCTCACGTCAATAAAACAATTAACTTTTCAGAGGTGTAGCTGTAGACGACCAAGGATACATACTGGTGGCAGATTCCGGAAACAATCGCGTACAAATTTTCCATCCTGACTCAACGTTCCTGAGAGCTTTCGGTTGCTGGGGATGTGGTGATGGAGAGTTCAAAGGACTTGAAGGCATCGCTGTTATGTCCAATGGAAACATATTAGTCAGCGACCGAGAGAATCATAGAGTTCAAGTTTTCTAATTTTACGCGTTACTGACTTCATAGTTTAAGTTGTGCGAATCGTGTACATAATTATAGTATTGATATTAGATCAAACTTCTTCATATAGCTTTAAAAATTAATACTCGAAGAATTTTACTGTTTATATTTTTTTTTTTTTATTACTATATATAATCAAAACAAATGTTACAATATAATATCATGACTTACAAAACCATAAAATATTGTATAAATAATAATATTCAAAATTAAAAGAATAAATAACATTCAAAATCCAAACCTATTTAATAGATGTAAAATGTGAATTATACTTTATTAAAAAATATGTGTATGCCATTATGCCAAATAATATATCGACCAATAATTAACAAAATTATTGTATACACATATTGTATTTTTATTTTAATAAAATGAAAACAAAAAAAAATCAGGTAACAACTAGATTAAAAAGTATTTAAATAAGTTAGATAAAATTACACCCAATGTATTACATATTATTTACTACCTATCTAAATCTATCAGTTTAAGTACCTATTTGAAATGGTTTTAAAATATTATATTACTAATTAGGAACAAAATATTTTTTCACAACGGTATCAAACTTCAAGATAGAAAAAAAATCACCACAAACCTATTTCATCAATTAAAATTAATACTTGATTTAGAGAGACTAAATAATGAAAAATCAATTGATTGAATCACATTATATTATAAGCATTTTAATTTTAAGTTAAAACCATTTCCGTGTTGTGATATTAATTTATTTAAAATTTATGTAGCAACATTTTAGTATATTTTTATATCCAATTAAATCTGAAAATGTTTTCTTATCATAATTAATTTTAATTATTTGAACAAAGATCTAATTTAAATTTAATATTTTGTAAAAATTAATGGAAAACTAAAAATAAAAACGTAGAAAACAATAAATAGTAATATTTTAAAGGTTCAACATATATTTTAAAGAAATTAAAATATTAAATAAATATTAATTTAGAAAAATAAATTAATATTTACTCATTATAACAATTCATTTCTTTACATATTTTGTAATATTAATTTGAACTTAAAAATATGTCCATACATGTAATATTTTATTATATGTATAAACATATTCGGTCAGTTTTCTGTTTTCTCTAGTTTTCTCTTTGAATTTAAGTATTTTAATGGTAAAAAATATTTATATGAAATTTAAAAATTTAAAAATATTGTATTTAACAAAATAAAATAAAATATAACTTTTTTTTTAAATCATAAAATAATTTTTACTATATTGATTATTTAATCATTAAATAGAAAATAAAATCAATAAATTAAGATATAATATGATAAAAATATAAAGAATAGCAGACTAAATTCAGAATTTCAATCACAAAAAAAAAAAACTATAAAGAACACTAATTTGTATTTACTTTTCAAATACACATAACCAAAGAAACCCAACTAATATAAATTAAATAAAAAAATGTAATTACTTGATCTATAACTATGTTCATACTCAAAGGTTGAAAATTAGTTCAAAAATATATTCTTCACATTCATACATTTCTCATCATCGATTTATACCTTCATTATTCTCAATGTGTTAAGTATCATTTTTATTATTTACATCATTACTTTTGATTAAACTTTGGTTTGAACTTGTTGGTGATGTTTCGTCAGTTGTAGAATTAATTTTAATGTAATCTTTATTGTTAACATCATCAATAAGACCATTTGATTGAGAACCAACTTCAGGACTTAAGACTTTTTGAGTCTCATTACATAAATTAATTTCACTCGTTTGTAATGAGTTTGGTATACCATTGCTATTGACTTTGTTTTGTTCTTCTATTTTTGGTTTGGTATTTTTTAATCGCTGCCATTCTGGTATAAAAGAAGATGCAGGGGCTGGAGGAAATTGGAATCTAAACCATAAAAATAATTTTAGGTATCAAAATAAATTAACCCTATTTCAATAAATACCTATTGAGAAGTAAACTTTTAATAGACTTAAGTTCAGCACGAACTTTACTATTAAATTCATTTTGCTTTTCTAAACATGTATTTGATAATAAGTATGAATTATTTTTTTCTTCTAACATTGTTATGCACCTTTCGATCGACAACTCTAAGGCATCCAAACGATTTTCTAATGGAGATTTTTGAGCTCCAAAAAGCCAGTTTTCTATATATTTCTATGAAAACAAAAGATGTAATAACATGGTTTAAAATATTTATATAACTTTTGCATACTTTATACAACTTATAACCAATGTATACAACAGCAGCAGCAAAAGCTATTGGTCCAAAAAGACGACTATACCAGCTCTGTGATTCAAATGAAGTTTGTATAACACCAGGAGCATTTGATGAATTGTAATGAAGAGGTGGTACCTATACAAAAGTAATTGGTATTAAGTTGATTGAATTAATGGATGTTATTAATTATGACTTACAGAAATTCCAACATTTTGTTTATTTTGATTATCATTACATATCGCTGCTGCTCTCTGAATTGATGTTTGTATCTCATAGTCAGTTAATCCTTTTTTACGTAGGAAGTTAACTTTTTTTTCAACAGGCATTTTTTGTACAATTTCATCTATCAAAAATTCTGTTGCTTTTGATACCTATATAGCAACATTTATCATAAATAAGTAATAACTTTGCAAATTATTGGTAAGTTTTATAGTCTCTTACCATATTTTTTCGGATTTCATGAGTTTCGTACATTTTTGAATTGTTTACCTGAATAAAATAATTTAAAGACAGTAAAACACATTACAACTTTGGTATAAAAATCATAAATACACCTTACCCAATAGTTGGAAGTACTTTTCGCCGTATCAGCTAATTTTGTGTTTGATTTATTCATCTAATAAATATATAAAGTAAATATCAAACAACACAATTTAAATGAATACAAAATGATGCATGCATAATAATAATAATAATAATAATAATAATATATACACACCGTGCTGTCGTTACCAGAGTTTGAAACTGCATTAACAGCAACTGAATTATCGTCGCTGTTGACTTTATCATCGTTGCGCGACATAGTGTAGCACGGTGCAATACGCAATGAACTTATAGATGGTTACTTTGTGAAATTAGTTGTCAGAAAACCCTGTAACAAATAAAATGCATGAGTCTCTTTATAAAGCCGAAAATTTGTAATCAAATTAAAACGCTTTGTGTTTGACAATGAAGTTTACAAAATATACTTCGGTGAGCTCAATGCTCACCCCTCAGTGACTAATAAATATTACTCAAAAGTTTCAACGATAAGTTACTATCCCAACGTAAGTACTAGGTACCTATTATACAATCAAAAACAAGCTCAGATTTACGCAGAGCAATGGATACCATTACACATGCACTTGAGCCCAAAAAAGTAGGAAACCCTTATTTCATATTTTCTTTTACAAAAATATAAAATAGTTTTGAAAAAAAAAATGTCCTTTAACATATTTTTTTTTTTTTAATTAGCAATATTGATGACATTGATGTAAAAAAACAAATAATATTCAATAGACCAATATAGGCAATAAATAATAATGATTATATTTTACCGCTTGTATTTATACAACATAGATAGATATACTATCTATCTAACTACCTACTCTAAAGTGCATACAGGTATCTACTGCAGAAAACACAATATTATAATAAATGAATAATTACGTATATGAAATGTAAAATACTATATTATTGTGTAAAAAAAAACAACACTGTAACGTAAAAGTTTTGCGTGTATAGCAACGCTGACTCGTTTTTTTTAAACACAAAAATATTTTACAACTGTCGTTCACGTATATTTCAATTTTTTTTTTTTTAATATGCTCGGTAAAAAAATTTTTAGACATTAAAAATAAAACTAAAAATTTGACGAATATAACACCATTACGTCCGTTACGTCATATTTTAACCGAAATCGCAAACGCATCAAAACCAAAGGATATATAAAGCTCGTACGATATACGATAACGTCTGATAAAATCTGTAGTAAAGGTAGGTAGTACACGATATATATCAAAGTGGTTAGCGGATACCATTGAATCCGCCGCGGAAATTCCATGAACGGTCACTACCAGTATCAGCTCCATCAGCAGCAGCAGCAGCGACTACTGGAGCAGCACCGGCGTCTCCTGGAGCAGCAACAGCGATGTCTCCCGCAACAGTACATTCGACGTCCTCCTGCCACCACTGTCGCCGCCACCACGGAGGTGTCGCCTAATCCCGTCGTCTTTCAACCGCAGTCGCCGACGCCCAAACACCGACCACGGATCGTGCACCTCGACAACGAGGCCGCACTATTGGCGGCGCTGACTGCGGACGGTTACCAGTTGGGCTCGACCGTCGGTCACGGGTCGTACAGCAAGGTCCGGATAGCGTACCGGACGGTGCCGGTGACGACGACGACGTCGTCTATGGCCCGGGTGGCGTGCAAGGTGATCAACAAGCGGCGCAACGCCGAAACTTCGTCGTACGTGCGGAAGTTCTTGCCTCGGGAACTGGACGTGCTGCGCACGGTCCGGCACCCGAACGTAGTCAGAACGCACAGGATATACGTGACGCCAAACACCGTCCACGTGTTCATGGACTACTGCGAAGTCGGCGACCTGCTCAGTCACATGCAACACGTCAAGTCTATACCGCAGTGGCAGGCACACATGTTTTTCAGGTAAGTACCGTTTTCGAGAGCCATCACCATTCGCTACCGCGTTTGACGCGCATCGAGTCATGATATCGACTTTTCATTTCGTAACCAACATACTAGACGAAACCGTACATATTTTTTTATTTAATAATAACAATTTTGAGTTATGACGAACCGAGTGAATAGGTAGGGCATCACACATTTTGAGTACTATACTGCTTACTCATACTTGCTTCGTTAACTATTTTCAATCAAAACTTTAAATACCAGCTCATCGTAAGTGGATAAATAGATGATTAGCTTTTTTATTGAACCGTACAAACTTTTAAATTTAAAAATTAAATTTTACAAAAGTTCATTGAATAAACATGATATAGGCACGAATACAATAAGACCAATACCGAAATGTTATAGAATTGCCCATGTATCTTACAAGAAAAATGTACCTTATAATTTTCGAAATAATATGTGCACTGTGCACACATTGTAGTAATAAGAATCGCCTTGCTATACTTTTAACGTTTAAGTAAATGTAGACAGCGTTAGGTAAAAAAAACTACGATTAACCAGTTATAAAATATTTTAAAGATTATATTGGTATATTATCTATAATTCAAAATGTATATATTTATCGACTTTATTAATACTTAATGAATCAATTACGGGCTTAAGATACGGTTTCTCTGCAGCGTTAAACAGTGCGACAACACGGTGTCTTGATGCCTAGTATATCCGGACCGGTAGTTAACGGTATAGGTCGCATCCAAACACAGCAGGGAAATCGTACCTTTACAATTTTCGTAGAACACGTTCAAACGTACAATATATTTCACTAGAATATTTCCCAAAATTAAAGTTATTACACACGCTACAATAATATAATAATAATTCAAAACATACTTCATTTAGTTATAATTTTACTAGTTTTTTTTCAACAAAGTCAAATTGAAAATTGTAAATGTTAAATCATAAATGTAATCTTTACTAACTTTAAACATTTGTTAGTCATAGTTATATTTTTTCCTAGCGCATCGACTAGTGATTATTGATCGGAGCAAACGGCATTCTTATGACTCATGCCATCAACACAAATGCAAATATTATAAGATATAAATTAAAAAACGAAAATTTCAGTCGTTCCACAATTATCTCTAAGTACAATACTGTACAATATTATTCACTTCAGGAAAAAAAAATCAAATATTTTTATGAAGAAATCGGATAGAAAACTTCAACGGTCACGTTGGGCAAGGAGATTTAAGGCAGAGGGGTTATAATTAAAACCCATTCAACACATACACTATGACAAGGGTTAAGGTTTATATGCAATAAACAACTATAAAATATACATTTGATTTATTAAAAATATACAAAAATTTGCAATTAATAATATTATATAGGTAGGTAGGTACTCCAAAAAATATGAAATATACACACAAAAAAAAAACCATACGTTTTAAAACTAATATCCTTTTTATTCACGCTATTCAAAAGTATTACTCAAAACAGTTAAATGGTGTTATAAATTTTCAAAATTGAACGATCTTCTATCAAGAACTTTGTATATGTTCTTATACAGGTATTTTTGAACAGCATCAATACCTATACTGTCACGCGATAAAAACGTCAAATAACGAAATATACCATAACACATAATTTTTTGTGATTGTATAATCGAAATATTATGCAATAATATTAATTTTAATCAAAATATGCAATAATATGTATTTTGTCCAACATGTGCAAATTAAAAACACCACTGCAGTTTATCTCATCATGAGGTGATTCGTAGACATTACTGACAAAAGCAATAATCAGAATTTGCAACAAAAAAAACACGTTGTTGCGCATAAATCCTAGTCCTAATTATTATGACATATATTTCAATTGAAATTGAAATTTCACTATGACCCATGACCCAGATGCCCCTTTTCATATATACGCCATTGATAAAAGTACATTATATTGTTGTGTGCTCTTGATTTTTTTTCACGATCGTGCACGCCATGGCCACCGCAGGCAGATATGCGAGGCCATGGATTATCTGCACCGGAAAAACATATCGCACCGGGACATAAAATGCGAGAACGTGTTGTTGGAGAGCATGCGGACCGTCAAGTTAACCGATTTCGGGTTCGCCCGGTTATGCGCGGACGAACGAGGCCGACGACTATTGAGCCAGACGTACTGCGGCAGTTCGTCATATGCTGCACCCGAAGTGCTACAAGTTCGTATATATCTTGTGCATTAAACACACTACATGAGACAAAATGACCCACCAGTCCCACTGCCCTGTAGACCGGTAGTCATACGCACTACTTTTTTTGATATGAAGCCACGGGAATTTAGGTCATAAATAAAAAAAATATATTCGGGGACAGCTATCGTCGTGTATTGAAAAACTTTACCAACTTTAACCACGATTTTTGAGTTCCATAAAAGTAGATAGTTATTGGCCCAGTCCCACTCTTAAAAACACTCCGGTTTTCAAAATGAAATACTACAGAGGTATAAACACGAATATCGACTGTTTTCATCATAATAAAATGATAATGAATCACAACTGGAAAAAAAACTCTCGCCCATGATACATAACATTATTATTATTATTAAAAATGAAAAATGTGCAGTTCCGCATATAATATTGATTATTACTATTGTTGTATAATGACAATGGGTAGTCGTGTGAAGTGTTCGTTGAAAACTTTTTTTACTTCATATTCTATGAGTTAATATTAAAATTGTTTAAATACATCCTATTTTCAAAAAATGTTACACCGGAAGTTAAATAGAAAGTGTTGATAATAGTAACAAATGAAAGACGTGATTAAACCTATTTGTGATAAAACGATCTTGCGTAAGAGAATGAGCTAAAATGTAAGAACTCTAAACAGTTAACAACTATAAATATTTTATTTTTTATAAAAGTACAAAGTATTAATGCATTATTTTTTTTTTTTTTTTTGTATACTGAAAAATTTTGATTTTGCACACAAATTTTTTCTAATACAACGGTAATAATATTTGGTTAACTGTTGATCACTCGACATTTTTAGTCCACACATTTCATGAGATATTTTATAGATTATAACCATAAAAATTTTTTAATAACTTGTTAAAACTGTATTTTTTTTACTATGGGTTTATACAATAATATATCTATTTTGTTAGAGAAATAGGAGGTTATACCTATTATATATACCTATTACCTTCAGTAATTACATTAAACTATTACCTTAAATTCATAATGTGCACGTTATGAACTTGACGTGATAATGTTAAAATTATTATCACGGAACATGCACTCCACAGACCATTCATAAGCTCCATTTTTTCCTTGGTTTTAAGGGTATACCGTACGACCCGATTTCCTATGATATGTGGGCATTGGGAGTTGTGCTATACGTGATGCTATCGGATACCATGCCATTCCCACACTCTAACCGACAGCAGATCGTGGCTAATCAGATTGCCAAAAAGTTCTGCAGGCCTAAGAAACCCGTGTCTCGAGAAGCGTTGAAACTTATCTCGTAAGTTTTATATTATTATTATTTTTGTTCTAAAATACATTTGTCACTGGTAACTGATAAATTTCAAAACCATGTGCGGGGAAACACAAAATTGTTATACCGTACGACATTATTCACAATATTATATCTAAAATATAGTAACAGTAATAATCGTATATCCAATACATGTTTTTATTACAGGATTATTTTAGAACCAGACGTTAACAAAAGAGCAACCATGAATCAAGTAAAACATCATCCATGGGTTAAACAACAAAACCCATATCATACTCATTAAATTACTAAGAAAATTCATAAGTTACGATATTGTGGATATGAGATATCCATGATAAATCATAAAATGAAACAGAACTAAAAAAGTACTTATTTAAATTTCACAGTGAAAACTAAATTCATTAAAATTAAATATTCAAAATCAAACACAACTAAAAATCACATATCCTATATCCAATGTCTGAGATATTTCATTCGATGTATATTATGTCCTTTTTTTTTATAATAAATTTAAATTTTTAAGTTAGTTCTATCTAATATTTGTCCATAGCTTTGAATTATTGTTAGATCAAAAATATATAAATAATAATTAGGGCGTTACAGTTAAAAACAATATAATTAATTGGTACCATTTCGACCCAACTATAATTTTGACGTTTCTAAAATAATAATTAATGTCATCATTTTTAAATAAATATGATATTGTTAATACAAACAAATTTATCAATATATAATTATTTATAATTATAATTTTACTAATACCTATTTATTATATTCTGAATACTTTAAAATAACTATAATTATGATAAAAATTGTATATAAATTAATTATTATTCATTATTATATTAAGATTATTTAGAATTTCATCAATACCTATTTATTTGTACATGGTTTTGCTAGAATGGAACTTAGAATTACAAAATGTCCTGCTTTTTTGAACTTGCATTTATTTATTTTGCAAAACGGCATATGAATGCATTGATCATCCATTAATATTAGGCATATAATTATTATCAATATTAAAAATAATTTAAAAAAATATTAAAAATATTTTTTTTTAAATATTTGTTTTATAATAAAACAAATTTCCATTATTTAAAAGTATTCAGTATAAATAAAATTATAATAATATATCAATTAATGTTGTTTGTTTGTTTTTCCATCAATATTATATAGTTATTAGTTACTAATAATGAATAATTAATAAAAAATACTAAAAAATAAAAATATTTGTTTATTATAGATTACTTTAGTAAGTACAAAAAATTAAAAATAATATTTCCTATTATTAAAATTATTTAGATATTATACAATATTGTTTATATTTCAATATTTGTACGTACTATTATAGAACTAACTTATATTATCCATTTTTAATTAAAATTAATATAAAACAATAAGAAAACAATATTTTAAACAATAGGATGGATTTATAATAAATTCAACTAAAATAAAATTAATTACACAAGCAAAATACTTATTACATTGAAAAAAAAATTATATTCTATTAGTATTTAATAAATATATATATTAAATAGATAAATAATTTTAATCGAAACATTTTAGATACATTCCTAGAGATCAAATTGTAATAAATTATGTTATTGTATTTGTATACATAATAATATTAATAGGTGGACCTAATATATTACTAAAGGTAATATAGAATTATTATTATGCATGTATACTGTATAGTTTGCATGTATAATAAACATACATATGAATAAAATTAATTTAAAAATAAATTTAACTATCACAAACAATTTTAATATCATGAAATAGTAATGAAACCATTTTCATTATGCATCGCAATAATGATGGATGAATAGATAATAAAAGACAATACCATAGATAGAAATGAGCTATTTTATTTAGAATGGATTTTGAACTACTTAATATTAAAAAATTTCATGTAATTTTGAAATAACATATCAAGCAGATCAGACAAGTTAATAGATTAAATTAGATTCAAATTCAAATTATTATAAACATTTAAATAGAACCCAATAATACGAGTTTAAATATATTGAATTACATACATCAAATTTTTGATACTGGTTATAATCTAAAGAATAATATTTTCAACAAAAAAAAATGTGTGAATTCTTTCAATACCTACAAAATATTAATTATGTCTTGTAGGATGTGGTTATATGGTAAAAATAATGTATGAACATGAACTGCAAAAAATGCATGCCATGTAATGTGAATTTAAAATTCAATAAATTATATTAACATTAGAAACATAGAAAAAGAAATTAAATAAGATAATAAAAATCTATTTAGTAAATTAAATAAATAAACAGGAAGACATGTCAGAAATTAATACATACTTTTAAGTTTTAATATAGTTCCCAATAATCTTATAATAATTTATAAATCAATCCACATCATTCCATTTTCATTTTTGTTATTTTTATTTCTTTTTTTTAAGCTCTTTTTAAAATCACTAAATGTCTTTGGTTTTTTTTGTTGTTTTGGTGATTTTGTAGGTTTAACAAAAACAGGATTTGAAACAACATATGTTCTTTGTCTTTCCAGCTTTCTGTAAGAATACTTTGAATTGATTGAAGGTAATGGTGAATATCTTGGATACGCAACAGTTTTGTTTTTTTCAGAAAATGATACATGTTTTTGATTATTTGATAAATGTTTATCATTGAATTTTGCTTGTACATTTGGAAGTTTAGTATTACGAGTATTTCGACCATCTCGATTAGACCAAAAGAACATTATTTATGTTCACATGAAATAAACATTTAAAATGAATATTTTTAAATTTAAATAGGTAGTACTTTAATAAAATGTATATGAATTTTATACCAAATTTATAAATTGAATAAACTTATGAATAAATAACTTATTGAACTTAGTTCAAAGTTATCACCATAGAAACTTAAACTACATACTTTATGTTAGCACGGCCTTTTGATTTAATCAATAAAAATAATAAATTGATATAATATTAATGACATACATATACACATTTTAAAGATGGGTAAATTTATGACTTTATAGTTTAGTTCTTTTTGTATAATTTATTTTTTATTATAATTGTAATAATTGTATTTAAGGATTTAATATTAACTATAAATCTTATAACAAAGCTATTACAATGACAATCTTTAACAAAGTAAATACTTATTAAACATGAAACATGAATCCAATTTATGATGAGTTATTTATCATAAACATAATAATTAAAAAAATTTCAGAAATATTAAATTATTTTATGAAATTAAATTGAATTTCAGCGTAAAATACTAGTCAGTGGTACATCCAGAGAAAAGCTTAGAATCTGAAGCCCCCTACCCAAAAAAAAAAACAAAAAAATGTATCTTAATATTATTATAGTATATTGTCTTATGTTTAACGTGCAAGTAAAATAGAAAAATGTATAAACTCCTCAAACAAAAATCCTGAGTGTGCACCTCACTAAAGTAGGTAAGTACTAACTTATAAAAAATATTTGTTAAGATAATTTTTATACACCTAAAGAGTATAAATAAAATCAAAGAAGACTTCAAGGTATAAAAGCTCATGGCTCATTTTAAATGATATAAGGTTAATTCTTAAATTAATATAATTTCTCATCAATTTACCTTGTAATTTAGGTATATCAGATGCCGATTTGTTTGTAAATGTAAAAGATTTAAAATTAATCTATCTTGAAATTATAGTTTTAAATAAACGAACGAGATAGATAAATATTAAATACTAAGTTATTTAATTATTTCATAAATTAAAATTTTTAATTTGTTAATAACAATCACTTAAAATTCTGAATATTCCAATCCAATACCATACTTTATGTTATGGTTCTTGTGGTAGATAATTCGTTATCATAAAACGTGTGATAGCATTTTACTCTTAGATCATATTATTATGATCTAAGATTTTACTGCTCAATTCAAGGTCACGACTTTAGATATTAGTACTGTCGTGTCCAGAATGTATCTTTTTTCGTATCATCAAATACCGTAGACCTATACAATTTATATTAAAATACGTAAAATACACAGTAAACCATAAAATTTAATATTTACAGTCATTACTCGATAATATAACGTTTATAGAAATATTATTATTATATTATTACGTTATACTATGGGCAATGCAGTAACTTTTATAGTACCACAAATATACGTTTACGACAATACGACACAACGACACTACGACGTACGAAGACTGAGTGCGAACGAATGACCAAGTGACGCTTCGATATTTAGTCGTCGTGACGTTACTTGTCGTTCGGCGTTTTTGAATTTGTCGATTGGTGTTATTTTTTGTTTTACGAATCTTAACCTAAACGAACAGATTACCCATCGTTTTTCTTTTTTAAATGATAACATCTAAGTCCTGAACTACCGAACGTCTGAAACCGGAGTCGTTATATTTATATTCATTCCTTTTTGTAGTTTCGATTGATTCATTTCTAACTTTATTTCTAGTTTCCGAGAACCGTTAATATGAATTAATAGAGTTCATTCACATCAGTCATCAACCCATTCAACTTGAGGTATGGTATTATACTATTATTATTCAACATTACAATACTATTATTATGTATGTACAACTTATGCAACACCTTCAGACTTGATCATGAATAGTTTTTTTTTTTTACTATTTTGTCCATACATTAATAATAAGAACTACTCTGTTAAATTAATTTGGCATCGTCATTTTAGCAACATTGTGGAGTTTCAATCAAATTAATTTCTCACTTATCGTTGACATATAGTATAGAAGATAAAAATATTTATTAATTAAATATTTTAATTAACAACTATTATTTTTTGAGTAGTTAATAATATTTGCTCTATACTCCGTAGAAATTTTATCATTTGTAAAAATGTTAACTGTTAAGATTCAATTTTACTTATCAAATAATTGCCTAGCAAAGCATATTATTTAATGTAAATGATAATTGTTTAAAAAGACCAAATTGTTACATTAATGTATTTTAACTATAAAAATTAATTTAATCTAGAAATATAAATTTTGTGAAAGATGAAGTATGATTTGTACTATATCTATTTTAAATAGTTTGATTATCATACCATTGTGGTCATATTACATAATCAAAATATATTAAGTAAACATTTCTTTATTATTAAATTATTTTACTTTGGGTACTTAAACCAAAAACAATTGAATGTGAAATATCTATTAACAGTTAATTAGTTAGGTAATACTTGTTGCTTTTTTTTATAAATACATGCTAGGTCACTCAAAATATTGTCAAGTTATTAAATATTAATTAGTGCATAACTAGCTTTTTTTCAAATACTAATTACTCAACAAATAATAATTGTAAACAATATTTAAAAAAAATAAGTCTGTTACAATGACAATGAGAATCATTTAATTAAAATACATTAACTAGTTTAAACATTTTTATTATAAATTACTTTTGGAAGACAAGTTTATTTTAATGGAAGACATTAATATTCAGTACCTATTTCACTTACAATATTAAAATATAATAAAAATTATAAATTATATAATATATGATAATAGTTAGTATTCTAAGTTTCCAAAACAAATATATTTTATTTCCGTGTATTCATCCATACCATGGTGTGAACCTTCTCTTCCAAGGCCAGATTCTTTGACACCTCCAAATGCTGCTTCTGTGGCTGATATGATACCTTCATTGATACCGACCATCCCGACTTCTAGAGCCTTTGCTACTCTCCAAACTTGAGACAAATCATTTGAATAAAAGTAACCAGCTAACCCTCTCTTTGTACTATTAGCAATTTCCAATCCTTCTTGTTCTGTATCAAACTCGATACATACTGCAACAGGTCCAAAAATTTCTTCTACATAACAGGCCATGTCTTTAGTAACATTTGTGATTAATGTTGGCTCATAGAATCGTTCGCCGAAACTTAATGCTCGTTTTCCACCAGTTATGATTTTTGCTCCTTTGTTCTTAGCATCATTTACTATTCTGTCTACCTTATCTGCTTGAGCTAGATTGATCAATGGTCCCATGTTCACACCACAAGTTTTACCATCGCCCATAACTAATTTATCCATTTCTACTTTCAATTTATCGACAAATTCTGAAAATACATTTTTTTGAATAATAAATCTATTAGCACTTACACATGTCTGCCCGCAATTTCTGAATTTTGAAGCCATTGCTCCAGCTACTGCTTTATTGATGTCTGCTCCGTTGAATACTATAAATGGTGCATTTCCTCCCAATTCTAAACCAACACGTTTCACTGTGCTGCTGCATTGTTTATATAGTAATTTTCCAACTTCTGTAGATCCAGTAAATGATATACCATAAATGTCTGGACTTTCACATAATAATTTACCAATTTCTGGAGTATTTTCTCTTGATGTAGTAACAACATTAATTACACCTTTCGGAATGCCGGCATCTTCAGCAAACTTTGCTAAAGCTAATGCTGTGATTGGAGTATTTTCTGCCGGTTTTATGACACATGTACATCCTGCTGCTAGAGCAGCTCCAGCTTTTCTAGTTATCATGGCTACTGGAAAATTCCACGGTGTAATAAGACCAACTGGTCCAAGCGGTTGACGAATCATTAAAATTTCTTTGGTCTTATTTGGACTAGGAACATGTTCACCATAAGTTCGTCGTGCTTCTTCTGAAAACCATTCAACAAATGAATTTCCATAAGCCATTTCACCCAAAGATTCTGCTAATGGTTTTCCAGCTTCTGATGTTAAAATGTCTGCTAAATAATCTTTATTTTCTACTAAAATATTGTACCAGTTTCTTAATAGATCACTTCTTTCTTTTGCTGTAGTCTTTTTCCATGTATTAAATGCATCATTTGCAGCATTTATGGCCACTTGTACATCCGACGCATCTAAATCTGGTACAGTAGCGATAGTTTTTCCTGTAGCCGGATTGACAACATCAAAAGTCTTTCCAGATTTTGCATCACACCATTCACCGTTCACATAAGCTTTGGTAGGCCACATTGTTGAATAACGTTGTGCACACAATATTATTGATCTAGTAATGCCTTGCGAAGATCTAAGTAACATACTGAAATTGAAATGAAAAGTTTATTCAAATAATTTCTTATATTTAACAAGCTAATTAAATTATACTACTATGTACGTGATATAAAAAATTAATTTTCTTTAATTGCTTTGATAAATTGTTCTCTGTTTGAACCTTTAAATGTCTTGGAAATTAACAGTTACTAGTTTGACGATAAATTTCAAGTGTTTGTATCTAGTATTATTATAATATAATCGTAATTCGAGCAAATCGTAATCCCCAGTCGTGCGAGCTGGTCGTCAATCGGCGTTTTGAAGTATGTATATAGTTCAAAGTTTTATCAATAATTGCAGCTGTATGGGCGGGAAAGTGGATGGTGGTCACCCTTCATCTCTTCGTCCTCTATTTGTGGTGTTACCAACACATGCGCACCGCGTATTCATCAAATTAAATTTGAACGCCGTTCATTTTTATCTTGTAATACTTCACAAATTACAATACTATTATGTACTATGTACCTAATACCTATGATTATTGTATTAATTATTGTTATAATATGTAATTATGAATTGAACTCGATTTCACTAGGTTTAGAATGCATTGTGTTCATTATTTTGTTCTCTGCAAATAAAACTGTTGATTCGTTTTTTTGTCGGCGAAATATATAATACGTTTCACTGGCCCTCGTGACATTCAATCTGACCCTTTTTGTTTTTTATTATTATTAATACACACACTTCCTTATTAAAGATTTAACCGGTTTGAGTCAACCGAGCTTGATTTTTTTAACGAATATAGACACCTAAATAATTTTTACGATTAGTTTTTTGTTTTAATACTTAAATACGAACTCGTTTAAGTCGTTTATCGAAAAACATTTATCACCTAGGTACTGCTTAATATCTTATAAGTTATAACTAATACATATTCATATGGCTTATGTTTCATATTAGTTTCAACTATTACTATTAACATACTTAGTATATCTATACAGAATTTAAATAGGTACTATACTTTGTTAATTGTCATTAAGCTATGAATTTGTAATATTTGTTAAAGTCCACAGAAGAAAACATAATATATTTTACTAAAATGATATTATTCATCTACTGTTTGTTTTATGTGATTTGTATGTAGTTTTAATTGCCATAGAATATAGGATGATCACTGCCCACCAGCCACCAGTACTGACTTTAATTTGTTTCCCATCTTAGTTATCTACATAATTTGAAAAACTTGTAATTGTGATAGTGAGTAGTGGCCAGACATTCACATTAGGAAAGGGGAGTGGTGCTTGTCACACATTAAGGTATGCATTCCTCTTCTAAAATGGTCCCTCATACATGAAAATTTAAAGTATTAATTATTTTTATCTTATCAAGACATTGACCCCTTATAATATTCAATCACCAATTACTAAAAATATTTATAAATTAATAAAAACAATTGTTATATACAATGAAATATACATCATATTGTATAAAAGTAAAATTAATTAGCACATTAATTGTATCATAAGCGTTTTATAACCTGATGAGTTATATGAATAATTATATAATAATTTATATGGTCATGTTATTTTAAATACCAAAGGCTTATTACTTCAACATATTCTGTTAATCTTTAAATAATTTTGGATTTGATAATGATTAAGCGGGAAAAGGGAAATATTTCATTAATGTATTAAAGAGGGTCTACTTCTCATTTTATTATGATGTGTAATTTCATAATGATCAATAATTGTATTTTGCATTAGGGGCAATAATCTTTCAAAAGTTAATTGAAAATAAATCTATTATACATCAACTGTTATCAAATATGTTAGTTTTTTTAAATTATTGTAAAGAGTAAAACCCTTCCAATTGCTTCATTGAAACTACTCAACTTTAATTTTGTTGAAATTTTTTAGTATGTATTTTACTATATCTAAAATTATAAATGTTAAGTATTTTATATTTTAAAAATCTTTCAACAAGTTTTTGTTAGCTTGTATTTTTAGTAGGTGTTATACATTTAAAAGGAATATATTTTTTTTAAACATTAAGCACTTAAATAATCCATATTTGTTTAATGAAATATTTTATTATCATTGAACAATAGCATTATATGCTGAAAGTTTATCAGCTTATCATTATACATGTATATAATACTTTTGTTTTGGTGAATTATATGAAGAGACTATTTATAATTTGTTTATACATGATAATATATACAGAGTGTTTACTAAATATCAATTAAACTTTTAATTTAATGTTAGCTTAAAACAATTGAGATTTAAAACTCTTATTCTTGTCTCAATATTTTGAAACAATGTAAATCTAAAAACATTTCGGTGCTGTTTAGTTAAGAATAATAATTACTATCTAATTAATTATTGTTAATGACCAAAGTAAACAATAAAAAAATATTGTCTTTAACCTGACCTCTGTATTTTGATAGGCTTTTTGTCATATTACTTTTAGAATCTTAAAATCAAACAAAATAATATTACCCATTCTGAACTAAAATGTACATCATTGAATTTGTTATATTTCAATTTATACTAATTATTTGTGGTGTGTCTTTAGTTCTGTAGTTTAATATAATAAATCATTATAATTAATAATACCTATAACAAATATGATAAACATTCCATTAAAAAAAAAAAAATAAATAGTTAGGTATTTTAATTAAAATACAAACATATATTAACTTATAATGTTTATATATAGTACAAAGAAAAAATACCATGTAATTATTAAATTAAATAAAAAAATTATACTGCATGACATTTATAAATTTTAAAGTAAGAATCTAATGTTTAAACTGTTATTTTTTGTCTTTTTTTTCGTGATGCCAAGTTTAAATTTTTTATAAGTAAAAAAATCATGAAGAAGAGTCTTGAACATAGGTATAAAGGATATAAATAAATATTATACATTTCTTAATTTATCTTTTATTTTTTTATTTGTTTCAGATATTATGGACCTGCTCAAGAAGTATTTCAATAATGATTCTTTATTTCGTTTCTGTAAATAATATTTAATATAAAAAATATAACTTACATGACCAAGACATTTGTATATTTGATATTTGTTTTTAGTTTCAGATTATGTTATACATTTTAATTATATAAATGATAAACCAATTCCTTCAGTCCTGGCACCTTTAACAATTACTTTATTCTGTTATTATGTCTATATTTATGTGAGAAAATTTTATCCTATTTATGTCAACTGTTGGTTTTGCAATGCCAATTTTAAAGTTGCTTTTGAGGACCGATTTGAATATTCATGCATTGAATGTGGACAATTTAATGGTTTTAAAGAGGCAAGTAATGTGTTATATAAATATTTATGTATCGTGTATTTATATATATGTAAATGTGTGTGTGTGTGTGTGTGTGTGTGTGTGTGTGTGTATCATACTTAAATATTGAATGGATCCTCTGATAAATGTATTAATTTTATAATTATGTGTGTTTTTTCTGTTTTCCATCACCTTTTGGTACAGTAAAATGCTTAAAAATATATTATAAGGTGCCTTGTAAGTTGATCATTTACCAACTAAAAAAATATCAGAAATTTATATTTTTAATATTTTTTTATAACCATTTAAATTTAGAATTTTAACAAAATTCATCAAAATCTTGGAAATTTACAAATTATTTTATAGTTAGAAATTTAAAAAAAAAATTCCTTTTATATCTAAAAGTTGAAAATTAAATACAATGATTTTGTAAAAAAATAAATCAACCTTCCATAAAAATAATAATAAAATAAATTACTGTTATACTAATATAAAAAATTATCAAAAAAATAAACTTAATAATTTATACTATTTTTCATTTAAAACAGTATATCATTAAATTCAAATTTACAGCATTCATTTAAGAAACCCACTCTGTACTTATTGTACATTGAAGTGGTACCCATTTATTCATATTTTTTTTAAATTATTTGTTTAATCAATTATTATAAACTTATAAAAATATATGTATTTAATTTCAGGATGGAAGCTATAGCAAATTAATTCCTGAGCAACACGATCAAAGATACAACAGGGGAATTTTCTCTGTAGTCCGAGAGGATGTTAAGGAAAATAAAAATGGTTTATGTAATAAATGCAACATTATTCAAGAAATTAAAGTAAAACAGTTAGCTTGTTTTATTCCTACCAATGAAAAGTACTTTGATAGGGAAATCGAAAAATTCAAGTAATGTTTAAAAGATATTGAAATATAACATTGTGTTTAATCTTTATTTTCAATTATTTTTAGGGAAAACTTAGAAGCAACATTAACATTGTGTTCTAAGTGCAATCAATATACACAAAAAATACTATCATTGCAGGAACAACGTTACAACTTGAAATCAAATAAAATAAATATTAATCACAAGGTAATTTATTGTTAAATTTTATTTTTATTTATTATTAATATTTATTATTTTTATAGGATATACAAAATGCTGATGTCTGGCCTAATATATGTTCACTGTTTTTATCATTTATTGTATTTGTACTATCTTCTGGTGTCGAAAATTATTTGGATGACTGGCCAATTCAATATTTAAATTCATTGACTTCCAAAAATCCTATAACATTAACACTTTTAATTGGAATGATTAGCTTAGGTGGTATATTGTGTCAAGCTTATCACAGTTTGAGCACATTTGACAAATTAAGTGCCATAACTATGTTCCTATGGTCATCATTGTGTGCTTTTAATAATTTTGAAAATGTTGCATTTTTAAAACCTAAAGTAATTTAAAATAATTGCATTTTAAAAATAATCATATTAGTTTACAAATGTTTAATATTTTTTAGCTTCTTCTCATTTCTGCGATTATTATACTTCTATCGTCATTATCAGTACTTAGAAATTTGACCAAGAAACAAAATATTGAACAAACAAGTATTAAACTAGAGGATGAAAAATACAAAATTTATAATACAAGGTAATATTAATAAGAGTATTATAGTTTCTTATATGTTTTTTATAGACAAATCTTTATTTGATTGATTTCTATTTAATTTAATTCTATATAACAATTTTGTGGGGAAACTTTAAAATTTGCATTTAAAAACCTTTCTATTTAGCAAATTAATTTTTATCATTATTATAAAATACATTTATAACTAAACAAACTCATCTATCCCACAGAGTGACTCGATAACATGTATCCATTAAATCTTACCTTATGTAATTATATCATCTTTTTATATTAATATTTAATATTACTTTTTTTTTAAATAAAAAAATATTTAATAAAAACTTTGAGGCCATAGTGAAACAAACCTTGTTAGTATCTATAATTTATTTAAGAGTTCCACTTAGAAATAAAAATAGATTAGTAAATAGTATTTAGCCAATTGCTAGTTTGTTATAATTTAATAATCGTTTTAGTAAGAAATGTATGTCACCAAAAACACAATTACGAGAAACTCATTTTCTGCCTGGGTCAAGTAATCAGTTCATCGTACGTCTCCCAAAATTCAAAGTTGCTCGAGTACTTAATGAAAAAATCTTTCTTGAAGCCATTCCCAAATCCATTCAGTATACAACAAGGGACGAATATGATTACGACATAGATGCACAATATATGACCCCTCGACACAACGGTATGTTATTTACTGCCTGTTAGAAGTCAAATTTCTGTATCTTTCCTTACTTATGAGCCTAAAACTATTGACATATTTTTAGTTCAACCAGTATCAATAATATCTCAAACCATAAATATCAAAATTGCCATTTACCAATTTTACATTGACTTTTTTGTAAGTTATAATATACCCCTTCAACACTTTTAAGTTAACATACTAATAAATATCCTTCAAAATAATTAGTTAAAATTAAAAGTATTATTTTTAACATTGCATTAAAAACTAGCCTTAATAATATAATTGTTTACAAGGAATGTTTCACTATTTTTATCATCTTATATTTAGTAATAATAAATTTGCATCAAAAGTTCATTTAATTTTATTATCTTTAAGAATATGTTCATTTTATAGTCATGTGAACTATTATAGCATTGTACATTTTGTTTATAAATGAAATTAAAGTAATATACTAATATATGAGGATTTTTAACTTAAATTTAAATTATCAATTATTTATATTTAATTTGATAAATATATATTATAGTTGATATACTTGTACAATATACTGTTGTCTTAAGTCCTGTGCCCCCCCCTAGGCCCTAGGCCCCATCTAATGAAAATTTACCAAGTTAAAATAAACTATGAATCGCATAATTCTTCAATCATTCCTCCAATATGAAACGTGGATTTTTTATGATAATTTGCAAATTTAAATATTTAATTATCAGTGATTAGTGAAGCTTTTAACTAAGATTAAAATTAATAATTTTAATTCAAAAAAATTTTTTTAATCTTTATTATTAGTTTATAAAACATTTTAATACATAAAGAATAAAATATTTTTTTGCATTTTTTTTTTCTATAAATATTTGAAATTACTTCCATTAATTGCAACTTACAGTTTGAATTTTGAACACCTAGATTCTTAACATCCTCTAATGTCAATAATATGATCGACATTTATTGCATTCTTTGATCTACCTGACCTATTTTGTTTATCATTATTTAGAATTAAAATCAAGTTTTTAATAACATTGGAAAGTCAATATAACAACTCAGTATTTAGCTACTTTATAGTACATTGGCTAATATCTATGCAATTTATTTGACTTTAATTCAATTTTAATATATTTATTTTTTTAACTGTTTTAAGAAATGTGATCAAAAAAAAAAAAATTAATCTTGAAAATTTATAATACTAAATTGTATAAAAAAATATTTAAATTAATAAGATAAACCGCATTTGAATATATTAATTTTTCATGAAAATATTAAAGGTGATTTTTTGAATAAACTGTATTTAATGTTATGTATTATAAACAATGTAGACAATTATATGAGTAACAATGATAATGTATTCAATCAATTTTATTGATTTACTTCCACGTTGACTGTTAGTTGCTAATAGAACCACTAACAAAGCTTAGGTTTGTGAATACTTGTATGTGTATTCAATTTAAATATTTTATAAAATGGTCACTTAGATGATCATGTAAAATAACCCAAATGTAAATAATAAATTATTAATGTTGGTAATTTTATTCCATCAATCAACCCTAAAACCTATTTATATAAAATATTATTAATTTAAAACAATAGGTAGCTTCATAATTAATTTGTGATTTGTTTATTCAGTGCAAATGGATCATATAAAAACAATGATAAATCGGAAATGATGGACATTGATCACTTTGAAGAGTTACCTAAGAGTCAAAAAAAGACATTGAACAAGACTGTCGATAATCTGTTTCAAGGGTTGAAACTCAATGAAAACCGTGGCGTCAAAAATAATATACTTCGACCACCAAAGTTTTCAATGCCTGTTAAACGTGACAAGTTTGCAGGATATGCTGAGTCTTCTCCTGGATATTATTCGTCGTATTCTGTGAAAGATGATTATGATTTTGATACGCAGAGCATTTATACTCAACAAGGTTATAGACCACAGTGTTCACCGTTGTGTCACCAGCCAGTTTCACCGTATACATATTATGCTCTACCACACCACCAAAATAGTCCTATGAACTTATCGCATTCATCAAATGCTTCAAGTATACAGCACACTTCAGAATGGCCAAAGATGTTGATGTACTCAATTCCTGGAGTTATATTACTTGCTCTACAATGTTACCTATTGTATGATATTAAAGACTACATGAAACAAAAGTGAGATTAGATTTAAATTTTTATCTTAATTTAATGAACTAGACATTATTTTGTAAATATTAACTGTAACACTGCTTTTGTTTGTCTCTTAAACATGTTAATGTATTAGTGTTCTTAATGTATAAAGACTGTTAACATTTATCATTGTTTTTGTTAACACTATTGTAAGCAATTTTTCTGTTAGTTTTTTTTCTACTACGTAAACTTTTTTTGTGTAAACTTTTATTTAATTTTTAATAAATCTTTCGGTCATGTTTATAAAATTGTTTTTCCAATAATTTCATTATAGACGTGATAAGTCTAAAGCCTCGGCAGTGAAAACTCTTAAAAATATACACAAAATAAAATACTATTTGATGTATTTAATTAAAATATTTTGCCATACATTTTATGTTGATTTACAGTTAATGTCATTAATGGTATGCATCGTACAAAATATGACTAATGTATTTTATATTCTATTTTTAAAAAATTTATACTTAACAATATGTTTTTTATCCTTTACGATTTGTTTTTTATTTTATATATGAACACGCATATGTATGAGATTTCATAGAAATATGAAAATAATTACTAATATTATTCAAGTTATCCAAAAATAACTTACTAGTTTCAACTGCTGTCCATTCTTCACATAGCTATAATATCATAATTCTATTATTTTAATAACTGGTGTCTTATACACAAAATTTTCATCAGATCATTAAATAATAATTCTTTAGTCCGATCTATTTTGTTGTTTGAATGTTAAAAGAAATTCAAAAACTGTAAACATTTGGCCAGGATAAAATTTCACATAATTTATTGAATTAATGTGTTTTTCTCTTGTTAACATATTTATTGATTTTTGTAAATACCTTTTGTTTAAATTAATGCCGAGTTCCAATAATCCTACCATTTAAAAAATATTTTTGATAATTATTCAAGAAAACTATTTTATAAAACATTTCTTACAAGTTTTTTTTTTAAACACACATAATATAAATGTCACTTTACAAAATATACAATATTGTTAATTTTTCAATTTTTATTCTTGAAAACTTATGTTTAAAATTATAATCATATTTAAAAATCCAATAAATGTATTAAAGTAGGTATTCAAATACTACATATTTCTTAACTCCATGAAATATTGGTATAAGGATTAATGTTACCATTACTAAAGTTTAATAGTATAATATTCAGCGCTAAACATAATAAAGATATTCATAAAAGTTTATGATTAATACATTACTAACATAATAATTATTATACGGTCAAAAACATCTATGATTTATTATATACCAGTAATGGTAAGAACAGACAAAATTATAACTATCATTTTTACTTTGATATTATATTCATACTCCATTAACAATTATGGTATAGTCAACATTCTTTAACTTGACAAGAAAGGATAGTCAGTCTATAACCATGCAAAACTGAAAAAATTAATCTACAATCTTAATGTATAATATATTAAAATACAATTAAATACTATAAATTTTGACAGGATAGTTAATTTAAATAATATGAAGTAATTTTATTGTTGAATGAATGCTAATAACATGTAAACAAAATAACCAAATCTTGGTAGCCGAGATTGTGTACAAAAAAAAAAAAAACAAATCATACGATTACATTAATAGTGATGCACTATCAACATCTGAAGATTGAAAAAACAAAATAATAGGAACAATACTGCTAAGGAACTTAGTCAAAATTGGTAACAAAATTAATGGTCCACAGCTGAATAACCAACGCACACAACTGTTTATTATAAATGTAAAAGAAGAGTATTTAAGTATTTTATCATATTAGATGTTATATTTCGTTGTTAAAAAGCCTTTGATGAATATGTAATCAAATCAATCAGCAACATTTGGTGGTTCGGTTATTACGACACTTTGCAGTTTGAAAGTTTGATAGTCAGCACAATCTTTAGAAATGTACAAGCCGTAGTCAGAGAGATCGTTGATAGCTGGTTTAATCATTTGAAAGTTACTAAGGATTTTGTCCATATCCAAAGAATAGTATCCTGTTGACATTTTGATCAACATATCGTACAGAGACCCGGGCGGCTCAACAGTACTGCGAAGCAACGGCATAACATAACAACGTTGGTTTTCAAAGTCGATGATGCCAGTAATGTTGACGCTGAAGTCGTGCAAGTAACGAGCTGATTTATTGATGACGATGTGCGGTACCTTGTTAACGTTTGCTTCGACCGGGTTGATAACTAAAGAAATAACCAAGTCTTTAGCTTCTGGCTCTGGAGACGATGGCAATGACAGCATATCGCTCTCAGCGGCTGCATAAGACGAGTAAGACTTGCAAGGCACGGAGGCGTCGTCCTCGGCCTCCTGTAGTTGCCTATGTTGTATTTCCTGAATGTAAGACTTGCATAGCGTATCGAAGCCGAAATAGAGGATCAATAAGACCCCCAGCAACAACACAGTGAACCTGCATATCTTTTCGATCAATCGTCTGTAGTCGGGCGAACGATGGTCACATATCTTGACCGGCCCACCGCTACCGTCGTCGTTGTTGTTTGTGTTCGCCACACCACCATCGCCGGTCTCCAAGAACTTAGGGTTATACGGCGGCGGTGGCTGAGTCTGACCCGGGCGGACTTCTGCGTCACCGATCAACGGCGCCTTGTCCGACTTGCCACCAACCGGCGGGAACGTCAAAACGGTCATCGTAACCGTGTAGCGGAGTTGTCTTGTTAGTGTGAATTGTCAAACCGAACGCAAACGGACGACTAAACGAGTAATAAATAACAGTAGCGAAGGGTCACCGTGAGTAACTGGGGTCTGGGACCGCGCGTCTGACACAAAGGAATGATAATATGATGACTGTCTAAGCCCGGGTTTTGCGTCGTAGGCCGTAGCTCCCAGGGCAGGACGAACGGTGTATGACTCGATAAAGGAGCGCATAATCAGATCACACTATCATCGTAAACCGCGGGCGGTTATTGGTCGTAGTGGAACGGGGTGACAGGCGCGGGCGCGTGTCGTCCAAACGCCCCAACGGTCGACGACGCGGCGGCGAACGCAACAGATCGTTAACCACTACCCGAATATGATAACGGCGAGTATCGACTATCGACGTATTACCTTGGACCGAGTATAGGGTTTCACGGTGACGACGGGTAAAACTCAGAAAACTAGGAGATCACTAAGACGTCATAACACTCATAACTTCATAAGTCTTTGTCGACGAGTTATTCGAATCGCGTTGCCGCCTCGTGTCGTCCACAAGCGTATTCCTATATCCTAGTTTTCTTATACACAACGGAGCGCGTTATCAATAAAATTCAAAGTATGGGCAGTTTCCGAATTGTGGGTGCGTAGGTAGTGTTTTTGCAACTATGCCGAGTTGAGTGCGGGGTTAGTCGACCGAATAAACGAGTTGGTCGATTAGATTTCGTGGATCAGTCAAAAATGCCGTGTAAATTCAATAAATCGCTGCAAAAAAAAAATATTCGAAAAATGTTTGTATACTATATTACCATACTACACAAGTTTAAATCAAAAATTAAAGTCTTATGTCAAAAAATCACATTAAAAAAATTAAATTGAATAATCAAAAGTATCAAAAGTATTATCCCAAATGAAAAATCGAAGAAAACATAAGCTAAACTGACAAGTATTTGTAAGCCAATTTTTCTATAAACTCTTCAAATGGGTTACCTAATTTTATTTTCATACCGACAATATTTTTTTCTGAATTATTTATAAGCAAAAATATTTTGTCTCGATTCATTTTAATTTTACCTAAATTAGTTAGAGCCAAGTGAAATTCTTCTATATTGTAGGCTACTTTGAAATCATACTTGAATGTGTATATAGGGGATATTTTTTATTTATGCGCAAGATGGTGTCTAAAGCAGTCTAACTACTAAAATATCCTTCGTGTAATTCATGTAAATTGTGCATGAATTTTCACACGACTCGTCGGAGCCTTTCGTTTTAATTAATTATCGAGTTAAAATATTTACATACATTTTTTCATGGTCATGAATCGTGTTCTTAAGTGGAACTACGGCCTAAACCAATTGGGCCATGGCCCAGATGAATCGCACCGCGTATTAATGTATACTGTATACAGTATACGTATAGTATATTAAATGGATATAAAAAAGTGAATTATGTAATAATAAATAATAATTCATAATAATATCATAATATAACGTATAACGTACCTATTATACAAAAAATATTTCTAAAAATGAATCATAAAATAAAATTATTTATTTATTAGTAAAACAATTATCAATTATAATTTAGCTGTAATTGTAAACATTGTATTTATTTTTAGAAAATTAAATATAACGTAGAACTCACACAATATTATCATAGTGTTTTATTTATATTTTACTATCACTTTCCCTCAAATTAAATGGTCTCGATTATAATAGTACGGTTACTGTAGGTAACCTTTGTTAAAACTTTCGATTTGTACCACTATGACAGGAACGTCTAGGCAATTCGATGTCTCCATGTATTGAAAAATACCATGGCAAAAAATATCAACATTTATGAAGAGTCATCGAAAAATTGAAAAAAAAAAGTTTCCAATGTTTCCATATGATTGTCGTTTATAGTTTTAAAAAATATATTAATTACATATTACATCACTTTAAAAGAATTTATTTTGTTGTTTGAATTTTAGTAATTTTTTAACTACAAAAATAAAGAATACTATATTAATATAACAGTGCATGTAAGTAATACGTTGAATCAAAGAAGTTTGAATATCGACTTGAAACAAAAAAAAATATTGAATTGTAAGTACCTACTTGTAACCTAAGTATATATTATTACTTTTATTTTTAAACAAAAAATTGATGATAATTAATCCAAGTATACAAAAGTATATACAAATACATAAATGATGAGTTTTAAAAAAATATATATCAAGAATTTTTTACTCCCCTTCTACACAATTAATATTTGTGTCTGAATTTAATATTAATTATTCAAATTAATATCCAGTCTAATATAAATCTCTAGTTCTGTCTATGATCGTGATTTTAAACACTAAAAAAAATTTACCATTTTTATTTAATTTATAATATGATTTCACATTTGTTTTATGCATGCCCATTTTTGAATATTGTTGCGTTTAAAAATTGATTGAAATTTATAGCCATTGATTATAAATATTTTTTATTTTTTCACTATACATTACATAACTTTTATTTTTATCTTTTTGTCGTTTAACCAATATGGACGCTAACAACTGCTAAGTAACTGTTGAAAATTACAAATAATTTAATGTTCTATAGATAATTTTATAATAATATATATTCATCATAATACTATAGTCATTTGCTCGTATCTAATCGTCATTTAATAATCTAGTCCCATACTTCAGAGAAAGACCAACATATACATACAATGTACTGAAATTACTTGTTATATTTACTATAACTACTAACTTTACAATAGTTGCTCACACACTAATTGCAGTAAAGCGAAACTGCTTTAAAACAATAGTCACTTTATTATGACCAACGAGAAATAAAACATTTATATTTTATGGAAAACATACACACTGATAAAGTGTTTGTTTTCAGTCATGACTAATATTGCTTTATTGAAATAAAAAACGTACGGCATTTTGATTAGTCATATAACTCATAATTAATAGCAGTCGCTGAATGCTTACATCGGCATTTTGACAAAAACTATTTATTCATGCTAAATTGTCTACAACATAAAGGTTATAGGTATTATATATTTATACATGCGTACATAAACCGAAAAAATATGATTTTGTTTTTTTCGCTATAATACCTACCATAGGTACCTACGAATCTTCTAAAACGTTATACGAATTCGATAATTAAATAAATAATAGACACCACGTGTATAAATAGGATTATAAAATGTCGAATGAGCATGAAATAATCAACCTCGACATTTTAATAAATCGTTAATCCGAAACCGTCAACGTCTCTTCATGATCATAAAAACATACAGGAACAATTATTATTATGCCATATCAGGTATTCTATAAAAAATATCAGGTCGTTTACTACTTGATTCGATCTACTGCATGCGTTTCGTGTAATGTGCGATCATAATAATATTTAATGCGCTTTATTGGGACCATATTATAATATAAGCTTTTAGACTAAACGTCATGACCCGAATTCCTACGATCGATTTCGCTTTTGTTTTATACCAGTGCAAAGTGCATACGGCCATAAAGGTATACACACAGACCGGCGAAAACCGGTTTAATCAGATTTTCGCCCGCGTCGAAAAATACTCGCGAGCGCGACTTCTCTCTACCGTCCAAAACAAACTGCGCACGCGATTCGGCGACGCAGATGAAAACCATTGCTCGACACGCAACGTTCGAATGCGCAGCCCGTTTGGACCGCGTCTACGTCGTCAATCGTCATGTAGGTAGGTAGGTAGAGATTTGTTGCGAAACGCGCGCGCGGTCACAAACGCGGCGGCAACGCTAGAACGGGCTGCGTTTTAATTGGCGGCGGCGAAACAATTGCTTCGACCGTTCTGGACGTGGTACGGTTGAGCGATCAGACGCGAAGTGAATCGATGAGCCGCAGACTCGCGGCAAGTGATCGATGCGAAAAACGACCGACGAATGGTGTGCCGTTTAATTTGCTCACGCCGCGGAGAAAAAAACATGTTGTGCCGGAGTGGCGCGACGAATCGTAACCGAGGTGGGCGGAGCTCGCGCGAGCGCCCAGCGTCTCCGAGCACGGTTTCTCGCGCAATAGTAACGTGTTTACACGAGTCAACCGTAATATTTGTTTTTGAGTGGCGACGCAGTTGTTTACGTCGTGCCTGTGTGGCGTATTTTATGACTGCAGCACACGCCGTAGGATGAATAGGTGTCCGGCTTGACGTGTACGACGACGGCTAATCGTTTCGTTTGTGGTGTGGCGATGATGTGCATTCGTCGCTCCGTTTTCGAGTCGTTGTCGTGCACCTATACGAATTGTAACCGGGGGCGTTGTTTTCCCGCTTGAATGTATTATTGCCGACAAAACGCTAGCGGTTTTGCCGTGTGCGTGTTCGGAATATGAACGGATTAGTAGAGCGATTGGTGTTGAGACGGCACTCGAATGATAAAAATAATAATAAAATATAATTGCCGTTTGTGGAAAAAAAAAAGAAAATAAAAGAAATGATGAACTGAACGAAATCTTTTAATTTACACAACCGTATAAATGATCGAGATTAAATTAAAATATAATATGTTATATTGACGATAGTAGGTCATCGTATACCTATGATTTTTATAGTTACTAATTACCCTGTATGATTTTTCTTATTTACCGTGCCATATATTGAGACAAAGACCCGTGCAAGATAATAAATATAACTAAACAAATAATAATAACAAAATATCATCATTTTACAATTTTTTTAAATTATAAATATCTCTCAAAAGATATTATGGCTGGTATACATTAATAATTCTATTCAAAAATCTTAAATCTTACAAATTAATAAATAAACTGTTTAGATTTTTCTTCATTTAAAAAATTTAAAAACAAATAAATACAAACCCGTTTTTCCAAAATTTCACGGTGTAGATTAATTGTAATTAATGAGAATTAATTAGTTTTATACATTTAAATGTGTATATATTAATAAAGGTGTATCTATCGGAACTACCAGAAATGTATAATATATAAATACCTACATCTGTTAAAATCAGATAATATGTTAGACGAAATATTTCAAATATTATTATAATATTATAATACTTAACTATTAATATACTAAATTATGTGTTTAAAAAAATATACATATAATTTAAACATTTAAAGGCCTTTAAAATATGTTGGGCTCTGAGACTATACATAACCTTAAGATTGTTCTGCTTTTTAATAAAAGCCGCCGTAGTCGTGTCGATAGAAATAGCACGAATTGATGCATTGGACAACATAACAATTAATGATGCGGAT